TGCCAAATGAATTAATTGATTATCCATAGATCTGCCTCCTACTTTATTTAAAGGAATAATAGTTACACGTTTTTGTAATTGACCATGTTGAAGTATTTTCTTACTAGTTATTTCTGTATCTACTACTATATTATATAACTGAAAGATCAAGTATTGAATGTTAAATTTGAAATATATACATTAACAGTGTTATTTAAAAAATAAATGTCATAAAAAAATCAAAATACCTTTCCTCCTGCAGCAATGTCCAATGCATATGCTGCATTTTTATCTTTAACTGTGATTAATTTACATACAACTCCTTTTACCGAATTATGATTAAAATTAGAATCAGGTTTTTGATATTCAAATCTAATTTGAGGATATTTTGATTCAAAATGATCTATTTCTTCTTCTAATGTTAATATTTCATTTCTTAATTTATATCTTTGTTCTTTAAGTTCTTCCATATATCCATCTTTGTAATTTAATTTTTTCAATTCATTTTCTAAATTTTTCACTTCTTTTTCTTTATTTTCAAGATCTTTAGTATATTTCTTGTATTCATCTCCAGTGTTTTTTAATTCTATTTTTTTTCTCTTTAGTTGCTCTCTATTATGATTTAATGTCATTTCACATTGTTTGCGTTGCGTTTGTGCTTCTGATAGATTCTGCTTAGTATTTATTAATTGTTGTTCCAATGTTGCATTTTCACCATCTTGACTTTCTAATAAGCCAGAGCTAATTTTTTGATATTTTTCTTGTGCAAGTAATACTGCTTTACAATCTTGTTCATCTGTCTCTTTTAACATTTTAAAAAGATCTTCAACTTTAGCATATTCTTTTTGTTTTGCTACAAAAATATTTTCATCATCAGCTATATTAATTTTTAATTGTTCTATTGCTTTTTTAGCAGCTTTAATATTTTCTTCATTGCTATTAAATTCAGCTGTTAATTTACATTGTTTTTTTTCTGCTTCTTTTAATTCATTATCCAAAGTTTCTAATTGAGTTCCTGTTTCCTATATTATATAAAAAATATATATATATATATATAAAATATAAAAAAAAATGTTTTAATTATATTAAAAAATATAAATAAAAAAATATTTTTTTATATAATTAAAATATATACTAGATCTTTTTTTTTAGCTATTTCATCATATTCTTTTTCTATATTTTTAAGCTCCTCTTCACCATCATTAATGCTTTTTGTTTTTTCTTCTATTTTATTTCTAACAATTTGAGCATTTTCTTCTGCATTTTGACTTTCATTTAAAGCTGTGACATATTTCCATGCTAGACAAATTCTTTTACAATGTTCTAATTCTCTTTCAATACGTTGAAATTCAACATATTGTATTTTTTCTTCTTTAAGTTTTGATAATCTTGGACCAATTTCATTTTTCAAAATCTGAAATTTATTTAGTTTTAATTAAACTGTATAATAATAAATAATAAATAATAATAATAATGTTAAATATTTTAATAATAAATTACAAAAAATTTAAAAATTGAATCATACATCATTTATTTCCTTTAATTTACTATCTTTTTTTTCTATAGTTTTTAAAGCAGCTTCTTTTTTACTTTCATACATTCGAGTACCTGCAGCTTCTTCTATCATTGATAAAATTTCCATAGGTTTCATATTTAAAACTTTTGTAATTCTTCCTTGCATTATCAAAAAATGTGGATTATTAACATTTAATTGAACAGAACAAAACATATCTTGGACACGTTTATTTTGTACATTAGATCCATTGATCAAATATTTATTTTTACCACCAATTACAACTTGTCTTGTAACTATTATCTCTTCATGATGTTCATATCCCATAGGAGATGAATCTCTATCTCTATTATCAAATGTTATAGTAACACTAGCTTTTTTTATACCTGCTTGACCAGATTTATAAACTAAGTCTTGTAATGATGTTGCACGTACCTAAAAAAATAAAAAATATTTTCTTATTCTTAAATTGTTTTTTTATTCTGCTTTGATACAAATTTTATATTTAATGCTAAGTAATATTAATAAGTATTAGAAGTATATTTGTCATTTTTATATATATTGTCATTTCATTCTATCAATGAAAATATAATTGTTTTAAAAAATAAAAATAATATTATGTTAAAAATATATAAAAAATAATATATTACCTGTCCAAGGTTCGATATACCTAAAACAAAGCATATTGCATCAAGAATGTTTGACTTCCCACTACCATTAAATCCTGTGATTGCGTTGAATTCTTTATTGAAATCATTTATTTCAATTCTTTTTCCGTATGATTTAAATCCTTCTAATACCATAGATTTTATATACATTATGAAATTAAGTAAATAGAATTGAAATAGAATTGAAAATATTACTTTAATTACACTTAAGTTGATAAACAAAACTGCAAATTCAAATCGTGAAGAATAACCGGTATATTTATATATTTTATTGGGGCAGATATACAATGAAAATACTTACGATTTTATCTTTTTCTATATAAATTCCAAAATTCATTAAACAAATTTTATATAAATCTTTTATATAATATTAAACTACTAATATTATTGTTTTTGTTATTTTAAAATAGTGTGAATATATATAAAAATATAAAATTGAAATATTACTAAACAATTTCTAGTAAAATATCATTTAGTGATATTTTAGTGATATTCTAGGATGTCTTTTCGAACATCTTATGTTATATATGAAAATAGCGTCTCAATTTATTTATGTTTCGGTTTCAAAATATTTTAAAATAAAGTTAAAAGTTCTATTTATTTTTAAAACACAATAATATAAAAGGTAAAAATTATACCAAATAAATTATTTTTTTTAATATCAATATAAAATATTCCGAGATTTTATTGAAATTAAAAATAAAGCAAATATTTATATTGTATTAGATATAATATAAGGTTATAACATAGATATAAATTTAATAAATCATAAAAATTATATTATATGAAATAAAATAATTTATTTAACCAGTTAATAATTGACTAATAATTTTTAATAAGTTACTATCATATATAATACATTTTTTTTTTTCAAATTATTATGTTATTAGGATCATTATGAATATTCCTCCGATTCAACAACCAGGAACAATTGGTGTAGGACAAATGACACAGTCTGTAAATGCTCAACTTCCTCAAAATCCACAACAAACACAACAAACACAGGTTCAACAGCAACAGCAACAACAACAGCAACAACAAACTCAAGAAAAACTTGATAATATTTCTAAAGTTAAATCATTAATTGTATCATTAAGAGATTCATTGGCCATAGCTCTTAAAACTGCAGCACATACATTACATCAAAATAGTTTAGTAGATGTTGGATCTTTGAAAGGTGGTATTGATCAGCCAGATCATAGATTCAATAAAAATATAGAGGAGTTTTATTCCATTTGTGATCAAATAGAATTACATTTAAAAACTTCTATAGAATGTACATCACAAAATTCTAGTTCTTTAAGATATCTTCCAGTACCAGTCATGCCACAACGTACTGATACTGTTGGTACTCAAGAAGCTTTAACATATCCTCAATTTTTAATGACTGTAAGAGCTCAAGTTGCATATGCTCGTGAAGTTCATGATACTTTAGTTTCTGCTGCACAATCAATAGCATCAGGTGAATAAATTTCATTTTAACAAGAAACTTATGAAAAAGATTGTGACAAAATATATAATAATATTTAATTATTAATTTATATACTGTATTTTTAATTTTTATATAATTTTTATCTTGTGTATAATATAATAATATCTGATATAATATAATAATAACATTATGATATTTTAATAAAAATCTAATATCTTTATCTTGTATATGTGATTTTTGTATATTTTATTTCAAAATAATGTATATAATTGTAAAAAATTTCTTATACATTACATTACATTAAAAATTAAAATATATATCTGAATTTGACAAAATTATATTATTTTGAATATTGTTTTTTATATTTATGATTATTATAAAACAATAATTTTATTATTAATAAAATTATAAATAAAATATTAATGATTTATAATAAAAATATATATATATATAATTTTTTTATGGATCAGATTATTTTAGAATAAATGCAACAAATTAATAATAATTAATATATATATATATATATAAATTATTAATTTTT